TTTTTTTTTTTTGGTACCGGGGATTGAACTCAGGTCCTTGTGCTTGCAGGCAGGCAGTGGAACCACTGAGCCAAATCCCTGGCCCGAGTAATTGATTTTTTAAGATCAAGTTTTATTTCAGATTAATTAGGCTTGTACACCCTTTAGCATCTTTCTTTTGCTTTCTTTCCTGTAGCTATCAGATATTGTGAAAAATGTCAGTTGATTAAACCCGATCGGACCCATCACTGCTCAGCCTGTGACATGTAAGTAATATTAATTTTCCTTTCATATATATCAAGTATTGAAAATTGGTGGAAGGAGAAGGAATGTTTTACATGCTTTAAACTTAGCAAATATGCTTCATTTTCTGCCATTACAGTATTTGCAAAGTGTTGTATGTAGCTAGCAAAATATTTATGTAAGCTAGAATTTACTCAGAAATATTCTTTGGTAACAGTTTCTCTACTAGTTAATAGAATTTCCTTAGCCTTTAAATGTGCTTTCTGTGCTTGTGTTCAGTATATTAAATGAATAAGATAACATTTCCTGGATTTAAAGGCCATAATGATGGTGCCTTTGTTTTAGTATTGTTAATATTAGAACTTTAAAAATAAAATAATTTTACAACTTTGTTCAACTGTTATCTTCACATTTTCCCCGGAAAAACTTGAAAGAATTCAGTCCTTACACAGTATAAGAAGGTAATATTTTAAAGGAACGATGTTAGTTTGGATCTCTCAGCTAATCCTAGGTTTATAGTTAAACTACTTAACTTTCTGGGTATTAGGTTACTCATGTGTTATATTATTTGGGATCATCTATGGCCTAATATTATATAAATATAGGATACATACACTGCTAGGGAGGCATATTTTGAATTTTTGGGTTTTCCCCTTATGATAAATACATAATAGGGTTACCTATACGGTACAATTGGACAAAGTATTTAGGAAAAAAATAAATGTTTCCAAGTCCATCAGTGTTAGTGTTCTGACATATTTGCTTCTAAAGTTTTATTTTTGTGGTCTGTACATGTTTAAAGTAACAGGGTTCATCTGTATTGCATTTTATTTCTTTGAACTACTTTGTTAGCTGGACCTGTGTAATACCAAGTATTGTCCACTACATCTGAATTAAAAAATATATATATTATTTGCTTCTGTCCGATGCAACTGGATATGCTCAGCTGAATTCCCAGTATGAAAGTTTATGGCCTCTAATATAAAAGTACTTGTGGAAATATCAGAAACAATCTCTAACCTAATGTTTCTGGGTTACTTCTCTAAGATATTGTTGTAAAGGGAAAATTTTAAGTGAAGTAAAATTATAAGGAATCAGAAGAATTTTCTGCACCGATTTTCTTATGTTTATTTGTTTCTTAGATGTGTTCTTAAGATGGATCATCACTGTCCTTGGTATGTATTTAAAAAACAAAGGAAATAACATCCATGGCTGGAGAGATGGGAAGGAAAGAATTGGGAATTATGTACTCCAATAGTCTATATTTTGCGGGTCAATTTTTAATTAATCATAACAGTAACATTGATCTGCTTATACAGTATATATACATGTATATATATGAACTTATTTATATTAAATATTTTCCTTTAAAATATATTTTAATGTTAACAAATAATGACTGCAGTAATGATTACTAAGAGTCACAGTGCTCTGTATTTCCCAAATGACCTGTTGCCAGGTAATAATAATTAAGCTTAATCATTGGTTTGTTGGTTTTGTTAGCAGTACTGAGGCCTCACGCATGGTATGTAAATGCTGTATTGCTGAGCTACATCCCCAGCCCCTTTTATTTGGGAACAGAGTGTCAAGTTGCCCAGGCTGGCCTTGAACTTGAGATCAATCCACTTGCCTTAACTTCCAGAGTAGCTGAGATTATAGCATGTACCATTGCGCTCAGCTAATACATCTTTTAAAAAAAATTTTATTTATAATTAAAAAAAATAAAAGTCACTGTCTTAACCACTTAGTAGTATTAAGTATTATTTACATTGTTGTACAGTCGTCAGAACTTTCAACTTAATGAAACCAAAATTCTGTAATTCATCAACTTCCCATCTCCCAGCCCTTGGCAACTCCCACTCAGCTTTCTATTTCTGTAAATTTATGACTTGTCTTATTTTTATAATGTGACTTTCTTTATTTTCTAGGGTGAATAACTGTGTGGGATTTTCTAATTACAAATTCTTCATGCTGTTTTTATTATATTCTCTGTTATACTGCCTTTTTGTTGCAACAACAGTTTTAGAGTACTTTATGAAATTTTGGACGGTAAGTCTCTTTTATCGTAAAAACATTTATTTAAGACTTTTTTTTTTTTACCATGGATCAAACTCAGGACATTGCTCTTGCCAGGCAGGCACTGTGCTGCTGAGCTAAATCCCCATTTAAGACTTTTTAAAGTTGCTGTATCGCTAAGGAATTATTCATTCTGATACTTTAATTTTTCTAGTTGCACTTTTTTCAGTTAGACTTTTTTTTTCCACTTTTAGCTATTTTATTTTGTTTATTAGTGCACCTGTGCAGTATATAAAGTCTCCATTCCTCGTGGGAAGTTGATTCCTGCACATAACACATCTTAATTCCTATTTCAATCTCCTTTCCTTTCCCTGCCTCCCCCTCCACCCATCTCTGGATCTGTTTCCTTGTTTTCTTTTCTTTTTTTCTTTTTATTGAGGTTATTGGTACAATCTAGGTATACAATACAATTACATTCACCTGTGCAGTATATAAAGTCTCCATTCCTCGTGGGAAGTTGATTCCTGCACATAACACATCTTAATTCCTATTTCAATCTCCTTTCCTTTCCCTGCCTCCCCCTCCACCCATCTCTGGATCTGTTTCCTTGTTTTCTTTTCTTTTTTTCTTTTTATTGAGGTTATTGGTACAATCTAGGTATACAATACAATTACATTCATCATTGGGATTCTGTACACTTT